TCAAAATTACTATTTTGAAGAAATTACATATGGGTAAAGTTGTATCACCAAACTACTAAAAATAATAAAAATAATAAAGTTGTGTTTTGAAAGTATGAGTTTAACTTTGTATTTCGTATTAATGACTTCTTTACTGCACTTCCATATTTACAGTTTTATATACATTTTTTTTATTTTAATTTATATTGAAGTTTGTATTTTTAGCCTACAGTTTCTCTTTTTATTCTTTAATACCTATATCTTTTAAAGTTTATAATTTTTATGTTTATTAAATGTTTACATAAACATAACTTTTAATTTTAAACTTCTTAATAATTTAGCTAATAGTTTTTTCTAAATTTGCTTATCTCTTCTTAAATTCTTATACAATCATATGACTTTTATATATTCTTTATTTTGAATATTTTTTAATAATTTAATTAATGAACTAAAAATATTGTTTTGATAGAATTCAAATTATTTTTCTGAAATTAAGCTAATTAACAATTAATCTAGTGTATTTAAATAAATCAAATTTTTATAATTAAATTATCAAATATTATGTAATTATATTATGTAGGATTACATTCTATCGTATTCTTAATTATATATATTTAATACATAATAAAATATACATTCAAATCATCTTTCTTTTTCAATGGTATCACGGTTGTGTGCTCCTCCCGCACCACCTCACGTTTCACGCGTTACCCCCTCTTCTTTCAGCAACTGTGAGCCACCCCTCCTTTCCCAGTTTCAACAACCACGTGCTGCAATTGTCAGCCCATTCGTCGCCTTTTTTTTTTTTTTTTTCATACATGTGTGTTCCAACGTCATGTTTTCAATCAATTTTAACGGTTTAAATCCTTATTTGGTTCTCATATTTGTTGATCAATCTTAAGTGGATCATCATTTTCTTTCAGTCTCAATTGGGTTCATAAACTTGTAAATTATCTCAATTAAGTCCTATCCGCTAACTTTTCACAGACGGCGTTAAAATTGACTGATGATTTTCAAATATTTGAACGAAATTGAGATGATTTACAAGTTTATGGACCCAATTGAGATCGAAAAAAACGATGACCCATTTGAGATTGACCAACAAATATGAGGACCAAACGAGGGTTTAAACCAGTTTTAATCTTAGCTTCTCTTCCTCAAACGAACTTAAATTTCATCCACTAATTACAATATCACTAATATAAAAAATAGCATGTGGTTTATGTTGGACATGGAGAATGACCACTATGTTATCATAATGTCAATTTATGATAAATATCAATTTTCATAAAATTCTTATCATTTCAATTTCATTTTTACAAAAGGTTTATAAACAGAAGAAAATAGTGATATTATATATGTCTAATAATGTTATGTCATGTCTTTGTAAAAAAAAATTGTTATCAGGAGATATTATTCAAATTCACATAAAACTATATACTACTTAGAATACAAAAACTAAAAATGGTAAATTCATAATTTTTAATTTTGTTCTTACATATTTGATCAACATTCTTATTTTTATTTGGTTTAATGTCACCTTAGATCCCTATTTTAGTGTTCAGAATCTCAAATAGGTTCCTTTCTTGTTTGGCGTCTCAACTGGATCCTTATTTTTATAAAATTGAATCAAATAGAGACTTTCCGTCAAATTGAGAAGACGCGGTTAAGGGATGCGTTACATGGCATGCTAACAGTGTCTTTTTTAAATGATGTGAAATACTTTATACAAGCAAATCTGAGGTGTAATTTTTAATTTTTAATTAAAAGAATATGGGAAACTTTAATTCAACCCAACCACTTTGTTTGAAATGAAGAATTGTGAAAAGAAATTGGGGAAACTGTGAGTGGGTAACAGAAGCAATTAGGGTTCTTTGACCATCGATTGTGGAGGAAGAAGTTGATGTTCGTACTTGGAGTTCGTCTCCTAACCATGATAATCTTGATAGAAATAGTGACCACACAAAGGGGCGGAACCACCATTCCCTACTTCACAGAATCTCCATTTTTCAAACTGTGCGCCCACGTATAGAGCTTTGATGCACTCGCAAATGGGAACCATTCCAAAAACACTTAATAGGGCACGATGACGATGCTTATGCCCTGAGGGTGCAGATTGCCCTTAACCTGAAAGATGTAGTTTACGACTTTATTGAAGAGACCTGGAATCCCAAAAGTGAATTTCTTCTTAAGTCCAATCCTCTGCACAAGAAAATTTCAGTTCTCCTCCATGTAGATAAACCCCATGTGAATTTGCAATTTCCGTCCTTCCACAAAATGCATATGATAAATGCCTATGATTGAGCTAATGTCCAATTTCGGGTTGCTTACATGATGACAGGTATTCATATATATATATATATATATATATATATATATATATTGGAAGCTTTCTGAGTTGAATCAGAGTGGTGGAAAAGATGAATGCAAGAAAATTGATTGATGAAACCAAGCACCCTGGCTTGATCCAATGGGCTAAAAATTTTGTTGCTCATCTTGCTGTCAATGGCCTTATACGAGACGCTGACAAATTTATTGAAGTTGCCAAGACTTTTAAGCAAACATTAAGTTTCATGCAGCTGCAAACTAAATGGAAATTTAGAAATTTTAATTGTTTTTTATTCTAATTTTGTTGGCATGAACTTTAGTTTTAAATAAAACTAAAAAGAAAAATTCAAAAACTGCAAACAGATGAGATACCAATGTTAAGTCTCATGTAAATTTCTGTTTGATTCTTAACTTTTAGAAAAACGCACAACTACCTTAAAATTGATGATTTTCTGAATAGGTAATTAGCGACGAAGTAAAAGTAAATTTTGCTTTACTATCTTAAAATTCTATACAGTTTAAAACACAATAAAAAAAAACACCAGCTTTCACCATAAAAAAACATCAGCTACTAATGTTGGACTCTATTTCTTTGGAAAAAAAACAAATTATTTTATGGCATATTACTCAATGAAACTATTGAAGAGCTTTGTCCACAATTTATTGGGGGGTCCAACCAGTTTGGTTGATAGTTGCATGTGTATTTCAAAGCGACATCTTCAATATCTCATGTTGTGGAGTTTGTATTATCTGACAATCTTTTTAGTGTGAGCCACCCACCAATTTTGAAATCATTACTCGATTCTGAAGAAGTTTGCATACATATTCCCCAACAACTTAATCTCACTACCTCAGCATGGCTGAAGCTTCCACCTCTTGCTCGTTACCTCCACCGACTTTTTTCCTAAAGTCGAAGCCCACCAGTGGCCATAACTCCATGAGCAGCGTCAGTGTCGAGAGATTCAAGTCGAACCCATGGGGTGTGTGGGAGGAGGCAACATCACCGCCAATATCGTCGGAGGAAGTGAGGGTGTTGCTATTACTGTAGTAATTTCCACCGTCGTTGAAGAAGAACATGAATAAGATATCATTATCCATTTTCGTCCACAAACGCTAATTCAAAGGACCACTAGTTGTTTTCAATTTCTTTTTGTAAATGTTAATTTGAAGAGAGGGAATGGCTTCCCCCAATCTATTTTCCCAATTGTCAATTAGAAGAAAGGGATAAGTTTCCCCAATTTGAAAAATTCAGTTTTTTTTTAATTTAAAAATTACACGTCACAAAATGTTATTACCACATAATCTATTTCATATCATTAAAAAAAACACGATCAACATTCCACATATACACCACTTAAACGACGTCTTATCAATTTGACGAAAAATCTCTATTTGATTCAATTTTACAAAAATAAGAACCAATTGAGAAGTCAAACAAAAAAAACCTATTTGAGATTCTCATTAAAAAATAAGGACGTAAAGAGACATTAAACATTTTTATTTTTTTTATTATAAGACTCAAAATGATTTGAATTCCTAAAACATTGTGTAATCATTTCATAAAATATAATAAAAAGATTTAACACTAATAAATCATAAGACAATTCATTTAAAAAGAAATAATTTAGGAATTTCTTTCTTATTATAAGTTTCATTTTTATTTTTCTTTTAATTCTATTAAACCAATGTCCTTTTGGCAGAAATGTATGGTTTATAAGCCTTACCATGCAATATATTTCTTTATCTTTCACATTAGCACAGCACCAGCAGCTACAATTCCATTTATTGTTTGATTTTTGAAGGGAATATGATCATTAATGTCAACTATCTCACAAGTATTCAGTGAGACCTTTAAGCAAAGTTATTAACATACTTGGAAACTGAAATCGATCGTGATCAATACCAACACCACTAACGTTATGGAATTGCTATACGAAACGAAAAAATAGAGTGAAAATAGAGTGAGAGGACAATATAGAATAATGTAAAACTCATTCCAGAATATATTCTTAATCTTAATATATATATATATATATATATATATATATATATATATTCGAAATTATTATGAAAAAGGGTGGCATTTTAAAAAAAATGGAGGTACACGGGGAATATGTGCGGTGCAAAAAGTAAAATACCGTAATCTGTGAAAGAGAAATTGGGTCTCTAAAAGGAAGGAACGATATATCACTTAGTTTAATTTTATATACACATTATTAATTTATTTTGTGCTGGATTTGACTTTGTAGTGCTAAGATAACAAGCTGTTTGAACATAATTGGATATTTGGATTTCTAACGTAAGAATATAAACAACAACATAAATTAGACAAGATGACTAGAGTTTTCATATTATTTAAATTAAGCAAATGTTCATTTTATAATAGCTAATCAATTATGTTACATCAAGTGGTGGCTAATATGCATGTTTATAATATACACAATTCATCCCTATGAAAAAATCCATCAAATTGATCCTTTAACGTTAGAAAATGAATAATGATACTTTAACAATAATTTTTTGATAATATTTTAACATCATCTACGTGTCATTCTGTGATTGGTCCATGTTGATATTTATGATTATTATTATTGAATGTGAAGTAATTTTGGACCAATCACGTAGTGTTTCTAATATACCAATATACCAGTTTAAGAGGTAACCTGATACATATGCAAGATTGTTTTATTTAATTTAAGACTGTATAAAACTTTATGGACAGTATTATTCCATTTTCCACTACCACAACCATCATACCTTTCGGGATTCCCTCTATCTCGCAATATACTTCAGAATCTGAACCTCGAAAAGGTGTTGAAAAAATGTACATCATATCATGGCATCATATTTTGGATCTTACTTTCTCAATAAGCTCTCTTCGGAGAATTTTTCCCGAAGCTGTCTTGGGAACAGCATTGATGAATGTCACTCTTCGTAATCTTTTGAAAGGTGCTACCTGCACACAAATACAAATAAGTGTCTACAAAAACGGGTATATGCAGAACTAATACAAACATGTATGTTTTTTTTGTAATATCTTAACTTTATTTTAGAACCCCATTTAGTAAATATCATATAATTTCATGAATGCAAGTCAGACACCAAGCTTGTTTATTTTTCTTACCTGATTAGCAATAAACTTTTGAACATCTTCCTCAGTCAGTGAACTATGTGGTGAGCGAACCACGTAGGCAACTGGAACCTCACCAGCTTCAGCATCAGGATATCTTCAGAATGAAAATGAGTCAATTATGAATTCCAATTACTAAGAACATGAGTTATATTTCTTCTATACACATAATAATTAAATAAAAATCATGCATGTGAAACTTACGGGATGACAACAGCATCAAGTATTTCAGGGTGAGAAACAAGAAGCCCTTCAAGTTCTGCTGGTGCAACCTAGTTTGAATGAGAAATGATAAATAGTTTAGATGGGTGAAAAATCCTTGACCGTAAATTTTTACCGCCAAGAATAACCCAGAATGATTGTAAACACGTAATTACCAACGCAGAACAGCAGACACATTATGCACTGAAGTTACAAAAATTGACTTACTCATACAATTTGGGGTTTAACATCATATGCATAAAATGCTACTTGATTATGTTTCTACTACTCGTGTAAATGGGGAATTTGATTGAGATTTGGGACATGTGACCACATATGCCTTTATGACATGCTAGACAAATTGTAAATTTACTATAGAAATGAGATTTGGATTACATACCTGGAAACCTTTATACTTGATCAGTTCTTTGATACGGTCAACAACAAAAAGTTGCCCTTCCTCGTCAAAATATCCAAGATCTCCTGTATGTACCCACCCTTTTGTATCTTTAGTCAATCTTGTGGCTTGGGGATTGTTGTGATAACCTGAAAACTTACACAATAGCTTTATTACATTGCTTCTAGGAAGTTCCAATGAAATATATACAACTTAATGCCAAACTGCATAAGAAGTAAACTAAGGACTTAAAACATATTTTTAGGACAAGAACATGGAAGCAAAATAAAAATGAAGGAAGCAACCATAAGTATACGTATTTCCTAAAGTCTAGTGCTCACTTCGACATTGCCAATAAAATTCCTAACTTTTCACTCAACAAGGAACAGTTTCCGTTGGCAACAGTCCATGAAACAATTCAAACATGGAATTGAACACAAATCTGTCGTTATCAATATAATGAATGATCTATAATCTAGCATAAAGCAATTTGACCATCCATTTTGATTAACACTGGGTGAAACAGAGTCTTAAGTACAATACCAATTACAAAGTCAGATAAAAAACCCCAAGACCCGTACCAAATGATGCTCATCAAACAAAATAGTGACAGGATGAAATTCAACTTAACAAAAATATTTTTCATGCATCAAGAATGTAGATTTTTGGAGAATGGAGGTACAACTCTATTAATATCTCTCAGAGGAACAGTTGCGATGAAAAAGAAAGTGACAAATATATTGTGATTAGAAAAATTAGAGCAGGACATTGGCCAGTGTATGATGAAGCTTCCAATAACCTCAGATCCCTTTATGCCATACATCAAGCAGACAACAAGAACACTATAACATGATGGCAGTCTTTGGCAAACAACTTAGCGTACAATGTAGAATGTCTTTTTTCCTTTTAGCATACAGGACTAACATGTTTAAGGTCATGATCTAATCTGTCCTGCTTCCGAATTTACACACACAAGACAACATTAGGCATCACCAAGCTTAAAACAGATTCAAGCACAGTACTAAACCAGAACAAAATATAGGCCATGGCAACTATAGAATACAAATAATAAACCCCACATTGCAGGGAGAGTACCTTGCATCATATTAGGACCCCGTACCCATATCTCCCCCAACTGTCCAGGAGGGAGAGGCTTCAGGGTATCCACGCTAACTATTTGAGCTTCCACTCCCGAAACAAGCATTCCCGTAGAGCCACTATGCCGAATCCCCATCCTTGTATTCTCCACAGAAACAATCCCACAAGTTTCAGTCATACCATATCCCTGAAACCACAACAACAATAACAACCAACACAAAACTCATACTTCAACTTCAAATAATTTCAACCCCACTTTAAATAAATTTCTTTTCTTCCTAAGCAATAAAGAAAACTAAATCGAACTTCTGTCATTATTCATAAACTAAACCCAACTTATGTATATGATTTTTATAGAAATTTCATCGTTTAACTTCTCTAAAAGAGTGTAAAAGTCATTTAGAACAAAACATTCTCTCGGTTAACAAGTACAATCCAAATAAAAAACCTCACAGACCACAAACGTTGTCTTCTACCTGAGCAACAGTAGCATGAGGGAAACGCTTAGCACACTCCTCCATCAACTCTTTCCCAAGAGGAGCAGCGCCAGAACCAATATGCTTCAGCGAGGAAAGATCATACTTATCGACCAAACCATGTTTGGCCAAAGCAAGGATGATCGGAGGCACAACCCACAAATGCGTCACTCTAAACTTCTCAATCGTCTTCAAAACCAGTTCAAATTCAAACTTCTTCAGAGACACCACAGCGTTGCCCCTCTGAAGCTGCGCGTACGAAATCACCGTCAAACCAAACACATGAAACATCGGCAGAACGCAGAGGAACACGCTATGCATCTCCCCGTTCAAATCATCGTCCAACCCAATCATCAACGATGCCGCCACGAAGTTCCCGTGCGTTAGAACCACGCCCTTGCTCACACCGGTGGTCCCGGAGGAGTACAGCAGCACCGCCGTATCACTCTGCTTGACGTCAACTTTCGGAAATTCGGTAGGCGACCCTGCGACTTGGACGAGCGCGTCGAAGCTAGTCGCATGGGAGTGCGCCTGGGAGTGGAGGAACACGGCGGGGAGGTTGAGGTGTTGGAGCTTGTCCCAGAGTTCGGGGACGGTGATGACAAGTTTGGGATTGGAGTCTTTGGCCTGTTTGGCGACCTCGGCAGCGGTGTATGCGGGGTTGACGGTAGTTACGATGGCGCCGAGGGAGGTGACGGCGAGGAAGCAGACGATGTAACGGATATCGTTGGGGGCGAGGAAGAGGACGACGTCGTTTTTGGCGACACCGAGGCGGAGGAGGCCGTGAGAAACTTTAACGGTTAGCGTTTTCAACTGTACGAATGAAAGGGTTTGAGAAGAATCGGCATCGATAAGAGCTTGTTTGGAGGGAAACGGTGCGACTCTGTTGAAGAGGTGGGAAACGAGTGTGAGGTTGGGTTGTTTGGGTAAAACGATTGAAGGTCTGAGAGATCTGAATATTCCATCGGAGCCATAGCCGGATCTCTGCATTGTAATTGGAATCGGAATCTACAATGCACAAACACAAAGTCTGATATATTATAACAGACACTGATAATGAACTGTTTTTATTCTGAAAACATGCAGGGCGCAACGTTGTTACCGACCAAGTCACCTATTTCAACGTCGTATTAACTATTCCCATGGAGGAAGAAGATTCTCCTCGAGAGGAAGAAGATTCTCTTAAAAAAAAAAACCTATCAAAATTACAGCATGAAAGGGTCATAAAAATGTAAATAAAAGAATTATGGTATTTGTTTTTAAAAGAGTGCTGGCGTTATCGATTGTGTTCGGATGGATAAGAACAACCTAATCCATCGTACTCAGTTGGATAAAAACAAAAACATTTTACTAACCCATTAACCAATGTGATTTTCCAATTGAGTAGTAATACCATGACACGCCTACGTGTCAATTACATTCATATGACACGGTACACGTCAGCGTTTTGGAAAAAAGAATGCACAGTGGATGAGGGTAAAATTGGAAAAAATAGAATTCGGGAAACGTTCTTCTTTCGCGTTCCTCGTTAGAAAATCCATTTAGGTTTTCTTTGACTAAAGTCATTCTTCTCCATCAGTAGTGCCTCTTTTCTGATTTCTGCTTCTTCGGTGCTTCAATCAGTGCTTCCATCGTTGGTGCCGCTCCCAATCTCGTCTCTCGTTTGTGAGTTTGAGGTAGGGGTTTTGTTTTTTGATCTCTCCTAAGTGAGGGTTTTTCTATTTTGATTTCGCTTTTCCTTTTTGAAGTACATTGTGATGTAAACTCATTTCTGCAAGATTATTTTCAGTGGTTGTGGAGTTGAGGGTTGTGGTCTCTGGTTTACGTTTCGACTTGTGTCGCTTCAGTGGTGTATGACTTTGAGGTAGGTTTTTTTCAAATTTTTTGTGTGGTAGTTTTACCCTTTTGAGCACTACCAGTGATGATGTTGTTTTTTTTGTTTATAGTTGCTGTTTGGATGAAAAAGGTTGTATAAACTGCTTGTTATTTTTGCTGTTACTG